CCGGTTGGCTCTGGACATCTATTTTCTTTGCAATTTATACTAGGCAATTTACACTGGACAGGACACCCTCTCAATATAATAAAAATTCATAATTCTATGTTGAAACATTGGATATCAGATCAAGTTTTCACTTAAATTTTGTTCAAATTTAATGAAAAAATAGAATAATGTTGGAGATACTGTTAATCGCTCAAATTGCTGAGTGGAACAGAGAGATGGACGTGGTGACCATGGGCGACCTTCTTGAACTCATTAGCATCCTCTCATTCGTTCCAACCCCTGACGTTGTTCGAACAACCTCACTTTCTCGCAAATGGCGAACCCTCTGGCCTTTTATTCCCTCACTCTAATTCATTTCCACAAACCCGCTAATCTTTTATGGACTTCGCCAATCGTACCCTCATCAATTGATCCCACATTAATCTCCTCCAATTCAAGCTCAAATTCTGCTTCCCTGTATCTGAAATCGATTTTCACCATCACGTCTCATCGTTGATTCGCTACGCCATCGACCACCAATTTCTATGGACATTTGAACTACATCAATTTCGACCTAGATTGCTTCTTCGACTTCTATTTCTCCGAGATCCAAAACAGCGGCGTTATGAATCTTTGTAACTGTGATATCATTGTTCCTCCTCCTAGGGTTCAAATTTCAGGAATATTCTCTCTTCGATCCATGTTGCTCACTCTGATTATGTTAATCTCTAGTTTTTGAGGACTGTTATGGGATGAAGAATCTGAACCAATAATGCTATGGTTACTTATATTCTTACTAACAAGTCTACAGAAACCTTACATGGCATTCCACATCACTTTCCTGTGGCCACTGCCATAAACAAAAGAATTAAAAAAAAAAAAGAAAAAAAATACGGATCACAAGGAATCCATTGCCTCAATTTCGTGGGCCTAACAATTCCTTCATTACAATTACATTGAAGAAAAAAAATTAAAGTTCTGCAACTTTTCTCCATTGCACGCCTCTTTCTCGCCTGAAGAAGATGATCCGGTCAACACACGATCTTTCACCCTTCTTTCTCTCAACTGATGATCAATGCCGATATTCTGGTGAAATCGACTGATAGCTGACAATGAGTAGAGGAAGGAGAATAAAAAAGATAGGTAGTTTAACAATTTTAGGGATTTCTTGTTTTTGATTGAATAATTTTTGGAGTTGAAATTTCAAAGTTTTGATTTGGGAGTTCACAAATTTAATTCATTATATTACTGAAAATCATCAAATATTGGTCCTTCAAATTTTTTTGATTTGAAATCCAACCAAAATTTCATTTGATTTGGGTTTTGGCAAATTTTGTTGAAATCCATACTTCATCCACCTAAAATTTCTGATTCATTTTGGTATTGTCTAATTTGAATTCCCTATATTTTGTTGAGACTCAATTGCAACATTCAAGGGTTATCTTTTAGTATTGATGCAATGAAAGTTAAAAGGCAAGAAGAATACTAGTAACAAAAGTTTTTCTTTGTCTGCTATGTCATTTGTTGGGTAGTTCAAATGGTTTGTTCAAGAACATGAGCTTACCACCAGAGATAGGAGCACATAATTAAATCAATGTGTTTACTGTTGATTGAGTTTTGGATGGATAGGAAACGTTCTTATGTTTGGTGGAGGAGTATTATTTTGGTGGGAGTTTGTGGTTATGAATTCTTTTTTTATTCTTCTTTTTAGATGAATTTTACCATGTCGCAGTCTTTGTTTTGCTTATTACTTTGTAGCTTTGTTGTTAACATTTGTTATATGGTAGCCTGCCTCCATTTCCATAGTCAAGCTTTTTACATGTTATCATTTATTATTTTTCTTGAATAAGATTTTATCTTTTGCCAATCCAAATTATAAAAAAAAAAAAAATAAAAAAAATGCAAGAGTGTTCAAGGAAAGCTCTAAATTTGTTATTTTAATACAGTGGTAGCTCTAAGATTGTTCATAGCTAAGTTTTATCTTTTTATTTATTGTTTTTTTGTTTTTTTATCTCCCTCTTTTAGGCATGCAAATTTGGATATTGCTTTTATCTAATTGCATTATTTTTGCAGGTTGTGTGGGTGAAAGTGGTGACTAGTTTGATATCAGCTATCAATAATGAAATCCTATTTTCAGGTGAGAGCAGCAATTACAATTGTGAATTTGGAGAAGACAAACTAAGGGAGGCTGGATTTTGCTTTTTGAGATAAAGGAATGCTTTTTTTTTTTTTTTTTTTTTTGGTGCTCTTTTTTGCAGAATGATGTAAATTTTTTGTTTGTACTCTCAATGCATTAACTATTTTTATTTGTGAGATGAAGGCTGCATTTTTTTGTATATTTTATAATGAAATTATTTTTCCTTCTTATATTGTAATGAAATAGCTATGAGATTGTAATGAATGCTTCATATTGAAATTAATATTGTGCTTAGTGGCTAAATTGGTTTTGTTGTATGTTGTGGTTTTGAATAAATGAAATGTGCTATGGTGGTTGTGATTATATTGTTTATTGTTCACAAAAACAAGTTGAAATGCTGTCGAAATATTGTCAGAATAGATCAATATTGTCGAAATGCTGTCAAAATGTGCTATTTTTTTGTTCACAAGTTGCTGAAATGGTACTGAAACGCTGTTGAAATGGTTAAACATATATCAAACAAAACAAAACAAACAATCCTCATTAACTTCAAATAGAGATTCAACAGTATCACTTGAGTTCAAATAGTAGTCACAATGTGTAATGAAATTAAAAAAATACAACTGTGATGTCAATGCTCTTCACTCTTGTCATCTTTGTGCAATGTTGGAGTTTTAGCTTGTGCCATATCATTCATTGTCAACATTTCAATGAAATTGTTAGGATGCATAACTCCTCCCATCTCTAAGTTTGCCCTCCAAGATGGAGATGGATGATGATGACCCTAATAATAAATAAAATAAAATAAAATGTGTTACTCTTATTAAAGAATACACTATGCTAAGCTATGATTTACTAATAGAATTAAATTAGTGCATACCTCGAATGGATACATGCCAATCCCTTGTTTGAACATACTTGCTTGAAATGACGAACTTCCTCCTTGTAGTAGATTGGCTGACCGAAATATGGACTCATCCCAATGATACTTGGATGACTAGTCATGTTTGGCCACATGCCCAATCCCCTGTTATAGTCATAACTTTCTTTTCCGATATGCAGTGACTGTTGCATTTCAGAATTCTACAACCCAAAATTTAAAGCCATAACTCACTGTTCCTAATGGTTAAAGTCATATTTTAAAGTTACTACCAACTATTTATGATACAAACATTTTCACTAAATTTTTTTTACTTACATGTAAGTGAATATTTTCCTCTGTCACAAGTTCAACAACTCTTGCACCATGCATATTCCCATTGTCCTGCAGCTCTTGCACAAATGTAAATTAATCAAAGTTAGCAATTATTATGAGCAATAGTATAACCATTATAAGTAATCAATAAGATTCATTAAAACCACGACCTTCTCTGAATTTCTCACAATATGTTTGTGCACATTTTCCTTGCAAGTTTGGCTATGAATCTTCTTTTTTCCTTCTTTTTTTTTTCTTAGTAACTTTTTCAACCATAGATTGCTTTCTTTTAAATGGTGGGTGCCCTTTTGAATGAGCTACCAAGGGATCAAGTATCTTTGTGCTCTCTTTTGAAATTCCAATGCCATCTCCACATGACGTAGACCCATTTCGAGTACGTACAAAAATTTGTTTATCGCTTCGGTAACTATCTTGCTTCATACATACACGAAATTCACATATTCTTTCTATGAACTTCTCACTCTAATCTTCGGACACTGCAGCCAAATCCGTAACCTCATAGAAGACATTACACATTTTATCAAATCGGCGTGGTTCAGGTTTGAGAGCCTAGTTGTCATAACTGATTCGCACTTTTGTATGGTTCCTTTTAACATTTTTGGACCATCTTTTCAAAATGTACTTGTCCGGTATTTGATCAACCTTCCTATGAATGAACACCACAATTTGATGCCTACACAATATTCGCCTATATTCAAATAACCGACAATTACAATAAACCTCATTGGTATCTTCATCAAAGCACACATTAAAAGATACACGACGACAACTTTCTCCAAATAATATATCTTCAGCCACTTCGTGTTCTGAAATGTAAGCATCTTTCTTATATAAAGATAAATCACAAGAAATCTTCCCCATTAGCTCTTGCTGGAACTCTTTAAATTTTGCCGTTGTATAAGCACTTTGAAATTGCTTCTCCATTTCATAACCAACCATACATGGGATGCTAGAGTTGAAAGAATTAAATTCTTCATTGTTCTCATTTTCTACCTTTTTTGCCAAAGCATTTTCATATTGTTCTACAAATTGTTTCAATGTGGTCTTGGAATTAACATACCCATCAAAAAACGCATGCATGCTTTCACTACGCTGTGTGGTTGACATTCCTGCCCAAAAAATATCTTTCACAAAGGCGGGGACCCAACGATGCCTTTCATCATACAAGCTAAATAACCATTTATTGTTTTGAAGTTTATATTTCTCAATGAATTTACCCCAACTTTCTTCAAATTCTCCTATAGTTAAGGAATCATAAACCATATTTTTTATTGAAAACTTGATTCCTTCATATTGATTGTAACCTCTCAATTTCTCAGGTAGCTTTTTCATGATATGCCACAAACACCACCGATGTCGTGCATTAGGAAAAACAACCTCTATGGCATTTTTCATTGCTTGATCTTGATCCGTAATGATTGCAGAAGGAGGACATCTAGACATGTATGTGAGCCATGACTAAAATAGCCATGTAAAGGTCTCTATGTCTTCACTTGAGATCAATCCACACCCAAGTAATGTTGATTGGCTATGATGGTTTACTCCTACGAAAGGAGCGAATGGCATTGCATATTTGTTAACTAAGTATGTTGTATCAAAGGTAACTACATCACCAAACCCTTTAAATGCAGCTCTACTCCTTGCATCTGCCCAAAATACATTCCTTAATCAGTCTTCTTCATCTAAATCCATCATGTGAAAGAATTCAGAATTGTGAGCTTGCATTTTCAAAAAGTAATTATGCATTGCTATTGCATCTCCTTCTCCAAGCTCTATGCGTCTAACCCTATCCATATTATTCCTGCAATCCTTCTCTAAATATGTCAATTTCTCATGCCCTCCTGCCTGAACCACTAATGAATTAAATCTCTTGTTCATTCTAAAACCGACTTTAGCATGTAATTCAAGCCTACTTTTCACAACTGAATTGAGAACCCTATGGCATCTATAAAATCAAGATTTTCCTGGACTCACCCCATGATTATGGTCAAGAACCATAGATCTCAAAATCCATTTTCCATCACCTAATAGATTTGCACGAATCTTAGCTTTGCAATCTGTTTTTGATTGTGGATGTAATTGATGGAGTTTGCTTGATTTAATCTTTGGCTTTCCACTGTGATTACAAGCAACTGTCACATACCTCACCTCAGCTCCTACTTTTTTAGAGCTTCTTATACACATGCCAAAACCTTTCTCCTTTGCATACCTTTGATAGAATTGAAAAAGGTCATCAATGGAATCAAACAACATTCCTACTTTAGGATCTTCTACACTTTCTGCCTTCTCTATTTCAATCTCATTATGGCCTTCATTTAAGCCAACACTTTCAGAACCACTTGATACTTCCTCCATGTGTCTGTATTATAATATATAGAATAATCAATGAACAAAACAAAAACAACATAAATTAGAAAGTCTACTTTGTTAAACTAGTCTTCTTCAATTAAAAAGTAACATATTCATACATGTAACTGTTATCTAAAATATGGAAATATACATATTCTTTCTTTAATTTACAAATAAATCTATAAAAGCCATTCTTTGTACTATTTGCATTCTATTGTCTCTTTTCAAATTCGTATTATTTAAGAGTTTTATAGATTTGAAGGTTAAAGATGGTTTTATTGTATTTGGTTATGCCTCAAGTGGTGTTTGGTTATGACCCATGGTTTATGACACATTATGGTGTTAAGGGGCAACACTGTGTAGGGGCCGAGAGGGGCCTTGGCCTCTACCGATTTTTAACAATTTTATTATTATTATTAATTAATTAATTAATTAATTAATTTTGCATTTATATTCATACATCTAACTGTTAACTAGAATATGGAAATACTTCTTTAGCAACACTTGTATAAAAAATTATATTCAATTACTAATGTATCAAAACCAATTCAATATTTTTTATGCATATACATTAGCCCCTCCCGAACAAAATCCATCGTTCCGCCCCTAGTGGTATTGGTTATAATTGAGTTATGAGAGGTCTTTAATTATGTATTAAAGGTGTTTGGTTTTGATCCATTAAATTATGACAGAAAGTTATTTGATAATAATATGATACACTCTTTTTGAGGGATATATAGATATATATATTATAGTATTACCCATATTTTAAACTTCTTATTTACAAATTATGTATACAACAGAATTATGCCCAATCCCAATTTAAAAGCAATAAAAGCATATGGGCATCTCGTATATATATTTTTTGAAGATTACCCCCACATAAACTTTGGATTGAAAACATCAGGACAAAAATAATAGACAAGAGGACCAGCCATACTGATACATCTACTTGAACAAAAATTGAGCACTAATAGCCTTCATAGTTTAAATAAAACAAGAGGCAAAAGTAAATGATTTACCGAAATCCGTAGGCAAGAGAGAGGCCAGGAAAAGAGTCTTCATTTGATTCTTCTCTTGGGTTTAGTTTATCATTGATTCAGTCAATTATCGAAGATGTGAAAGAGACATAATCAACCCCACGAAGAAGGAGAACTTGTATTCTCCGCATGAGACGTAGTGAGAATTGTATAATTCTCTTACATCCTTTCTGCATGTAATGTAGTTAGATTTTTGTTTGCCTGCTTAAAACTATTGCATGTTTTGCTTCGTTACAGCTTTCTTCGCATGATTATAAATTATGTTCGGCATCGTGCATGTTCCTTGTATCTTGCCCCTGCCTTCGGACACATATCTTCGCTTCTTGTATGCTTGTCTAAGTCTTCAGCCTTGTCGAAAATGGGTCGTCTTTGGGCTTTGACATTCACTCCCGTCATTGTTATGACTTTCGAGTTCTGTCAAAGAGGGGCAACTGTAGACACCCCATTTTTGACCATCCTCAAGACTTGGACGTCATCATTTGAACACTCGATGATCATCTATGCCTGTGTTCGTTTTGAGTTCCCGGAGGCCTCTGTCGCGTGCCTTGCCTCAAGATCTCTCAGCTTGTCTGTTTTGTGCTTGGTTGTGGACCAAGCACTTGTGTTTTGGCTTCTGAGGGAAGATGGTGGCTTGTTTTCCATCCCTTGGACCCATTGGCCAAGGCTTGAAGCCGTCGGCCTTGTTTTCTTGCCATTGACCAAAAGTTTTTGCCGATCGGCACTCCTTTGGGTCGATCGGCACTTATGTTGGTCGATCGGCCATGTTTTCTGGCCGAACCCTACTCATCTGCTTTATGCAGATATTTTATGCCAGCTGTCACAGTTGGCATGCACAATTCACCCCCTCCATACATGTGTGTTGAGGGATTTACCCCTCTGCTTAGCTTCCTCAAGAAGCTTTGCTTTTGGTTCTCTATAAGAGAGAACCATCTCCTCCCTCCTCAAGGGTTCAGAAAATTGAGTCTTGAGGGATAGATATACTTTTGTATCTATTCTTCTTTGTTTAGCCTTGTTTTGTACTCAAAAGTATAGTATTGTCTTACTATTATACACAAACACACACTAGAACACCATCCTCTTGGAGCTGAGGTCCCTTGAGGTTGATTTCAGAGTTCCTGGAGTGGTTTAAGCTTGGAAAAGTTGCTGGAGCCCTGTTCTTGAAAGTGTTCTTCAAGTGAGAGTATTCTTACTTTTAATACCCCTTTGTTGCTTAAGCTTTTAGACCTTTTTGCTTATTATTTTAAGCTTAACTCTAAACTACAATAAGTTCTAATTTTTTATGCTTTAGATCTTTGTTTCAGATCACTTTTTGGTTTGGGGTTGTTTCCCCCCTCTTAGGCCTTGTTAGGCCTTGTTTTAGGCCATTCCTTTTGGCCCTTGTTCTTGGCTTTGCATGACCTTCCTACCACTGAAATCCAGAGGATTTTTAGTGGTGGGAAGGTGGTTTTGGAGTCCTAAATAGGAGAGGGTCATCCCCTCTCCTTATTGTCGTGAATGCTAGTATAAATGGCTTATATTGGTAGCATGTTTGCTTGGCTTGTTTTAGCTTCATTTCAGTATGTATTAGGCTTTGTTTTTCCATGACATAACACTATTTTGACTTGGTTTGGACATACCATGTATGCTTCATGTACTTGCCTTGCAATCCTTTCATTTGCCTTAACATGCATCATGCTTTAAGCCATGTTTCTACCATGATTTTGGCTCGACTCCATGAAGCTTTTAGCCTTGTTGTAACATGTTTAAGCTCTGACTTGAGTTATTTTTGACCATATATGCCATGCTTTGTATAGTCATAAGGCATTCTGACTTGTTAGCCTTAAGTTTCCAAGTCACTAGCATGCTGTACTTGGACCATTTCGCTGATTTGGCATCATTTGTTATACTATTTTAGTCCATGTTTCATGCTCAAACAATTGCACTTGTCACTCCTTTAATGCCTTAAAGAGTTGATGTTTAATAGCTCATGAATGGGTCATTGTGTATGCCAACATGTTTAGGTCTTTGGGATGCCATCTAAGTGGGTTTTTGGTCTTGTTTTACCATGCCATAACTCTGTTTTTCATTGCTTAATGTCATGCCATGTTTGGTTTTGATAGGTGTAGTGTAACACCTCTTTTGTAGCCTTGCATGCCTCATGCTTTCGGCCCTTTGTTCTAGCTTATTTTGGCTTTGGTCCTTGCATGTTTTAGGCTCATTTTGGCATAATTTTGGACTGTTTTGGATTATACCTGTCATTTGCTTCAGATTTTGCATAGCCTTGGTTTGAACCCCTTAGCTAGTTTCAAGCTTTAAGCCTTTTTGCATGACTTGCTTGCTTTGTTTGGTTGGTTTGGCACCTCTCCATGCATGATTTCAGAGCTTACCATGTATGCCACATGTCCATGTTTGTCCTCTTTTAAGTGTTCTAGGAAGTTGCTCTCCTATGCTTAGGTGATAGGAAATTGGCATGCATGTTTGTATGTACCTTTGTCTTCATTTCCATAGCACTTTAGCCACTGATTTTGGGCATGGCTGAGGTCTATCCATCTTTAGTTTAAGTCCATGTTACCATGTTGTCGCATGCTTGTCTCATTTTATATGTTGTTGCATACTTGTCCACCTTTACATGCCTTGCATGTTTACATGTTCATGTTGCAGCTTACCATGTTGTTCAAGGTTGTTACTTTACATCATGCTTATATTTTTGTCGCGTACTTGTTAGAACATGCCATTGCGTGCTTGTTGTTGGTATTGTTGTTGCATACCTATTACATTGTATGCATGCATGTTTGTATACTTGGATTTCATGTTGTTGCATGTTTACTTGTTGCATGCTTGAGTTGTTCGCATCATGCTTGCATGTTTGCATTGCATTATGTGTGCATCCCTTGTCTCTTGATCAAGCATGATAGAGGTTGGGGCCCCTTATGTGTTTTGCACATTTCATTTGATATTGAATTGCACACTTGGCTCCTTTGGCCACCATGCATTGGAATGCGTGATTGGTGGCCCAAGGGTCGAGAACTACACTCCTTTGAGTCTTAAACATGATAAGGGGTGTGGTTGCAAACATTTTCTTGCAAAATGCATTGCCATGCTCTGTTTGTGCTTCGCTGCAGCAACAGGAGCTTTTCACAGGAAGAAATGGTTGATCGACCATATTCAGTGCCGATCGACAACAAACACTTGGCCGACAGTCTTATATTTGGTTGATGACCTTTCTATCTTGGTCGATGGCATCAGCTCTTGGTCGATGACCTCCCACAGTGTACACAAGATGGTTCAGAAGTGTCACAGAAGTTGGCACAATTTTCAAAGGTACGGAGCAGTGCAAATAGAGGCAACATGAAGCATGGTGATGGATTTCCGAGCGAAGCCCTCCAAGCATGCATTCATCCCTTGTCTTGAGGCCATTTCAGGGTTTTAGTAATTTAGAATAGTTATTTATTTCGATTTGGTTGTGTAATTAATTAATTAGCTTGCTAGTTAGTTAATTAGATGATTTGTATTATTCTTTTGGTCCTTCCGTCGAGAGGGCGCAATTATGTAATAAGAGTGCGTGTGTGTGATGCATGTCTTTTAATCCCTACTTCTTTCTCCTTTTTACTCACCTACTTTCAGTGGTTAGTTCTAGGGCATATTTCAATTAGCATCCTTATGCTATGCATGTTTGCACCATTCATCTGTATTAAATGCACTGAGCTCGGCGCATCATACTAACAGCATTGTATTTCAATTCCAAGTTGAATACATGTATCGAATTGTCGCGTCTCATATGCCATTTTAGATTAGCCGAGCCTATTCTAGTTGCACTTCGCATGCGATGCATTAGCCATTTTAACATGAACTAGGATCATGCATGATTTCTAACTAGTTTCTTGTTTTGGCTCGGAGTATATTATAAGTGTTTATGCTTTAGTATCTTGCACGTGTGTGAGTGTTAACATGACAGTATGCTTGCCATGAGGCTAATTACTTATGTGA